GGGTTTAGGGTTTAGGGGGTGACAATGATTCTGAAGGAAAAGAAGAGTAACACCAGAACATCTGGGGCACGTCATAATTGCAAATCTTTGTCGTGTTCATGTTCGTAGACAGCATCATAGTCACCGCAATCAGCTGGTAATGGCAGCACTGAGTACTACCAGTACAGCAATATAAAAGAACACCTTGCGCCACCTTCGAGCTTGGCTACTCTTCGCATCCATGCCCACGGTCTCGATGATCTCAAAAGACTCGGGCATCACCTCCGGAGGGGTCGCAACCTGACAGCCGGCGACTTGGGGGTTTAGGGTTTGGGGGGTGGGGTTCATCTGGGGGCTTTACCGGTTTCTGTAGGCTGTGGATATAGTCCTTATTTTTTAAAGTATAACGAAACATGTAGGAGCCGTAGTAGTTTTAGAAAAGGGATTGGGTGGGCATATGTTATAGTATAATAGTCTAGGGAACACTCAGCAAAAGACTATCTCTGAAAGTTAATTTAATGTCCCTGCAATAGCACCGATGACTTAAACCCTGAACCTAAGCTCTGAGACAAAAGCCCAAACCCTAAAGCTACAAAACGGCCAAGGCCCCAAAAGCCAACAGCCCACTTAAGATCCTTGTAACAAATTTATACAACCCGCATTAAGCCCTGCCTGACATCTTGATATCTCAAACCCCAAGCGTAAACCCTAAACCCTAGACCCTAAAACCCTCAACGCTGTTTAAGATTTAGGGCTTAAGGTCTAAAGTCCCGAAGCCCGCACACTTGCAATACGCCCCAAAGCGCGAAAGGCCCGGGCCATCAGACCCTGATTCCGAAAGACTGTTATAAGGTTTAAAGACTTCATGAACTGTTAGGTTTTATATGATTCATCATTTTCTATAGGGTTCCGAGAAGCCCTAAACTCTCGCAAGATGCCAGCCCGAAACGGAAAACCCTATAAACCCAGACCCTAAATCCTAAACCCTGAACCCGAAACTTAAGACTCCAACCTGAACCCTAAACCCGAAACCTAGACCCGAATCTGGAACCTCGGACCGTAATCTGAACCCTAAACACTCAACCTAGACCCGGATGTCTTACCCTAAACCCTAAACCTCGGACCGTGATCTGAACCCTAAACCCGAAACCCAGACCCCAATCTGGACCAAAAGCCCTAATCCTCGGACCGGAATCTGAACACTTTATCCCTACCTGTGACCCCAAACTCTACAAAAAAGTAGGTTATGACCCCTTAGTTAGAGGGTAGAACCCTTAAAACGGTATGTTCGTGGATCCCCAGGTACATCCTAAAGCCTTTATCCCTACCCATAGGCCCCATAGTAGTTCCTTTTGGGATTACCTTATAGGATTCTTTAAATGAACCCCCAAAAAGGAACTACTTTAGGGCCTATGGCCCTAAACCCTAAACCCTAAACCCTAAACCCTAAACCCTAAACCCCCAAAAAAGGAACTACTTTAGGGCCTATGGGTACATCCTAAAGCCGGACCTGCTGCAACGCCGAACAGTAGAGGAGACTCATCAGTCTGACCTGGTTTAGGGTTTAGGGCTTAGGGTTTAGGGTTTAGGGTTTAGGGTTTAGGGTTTAGGGTTGGAAAGCAAAAACCATAACATCGGTGCTTTCTTAAATTAGAATAGTGGTATATAGCAAAAACATAACATCGGGGCATTCATATATTAGAGTAGTTTTGTTTGTTCGGATTCTTTGATATATGGGTTTTGTGTACGGGCCTCAAGAGTTGGAATCGGGTTTACTGGGGCATATGGCAGGACAACTGTCATAATGATCCCTTAAGGCCCTAAGGGATACTGTTAGTCTTATTCAGGATTACCCATTGGAGGGGTTTGGCGTTTGGACTCCCTAAACCCTAAACCCAAAGTTATTGTGCTTGTAAGGTTGAGCGGGCTCATAGGGTCTATGGAAGCTCTAAGGCATGGGGCCTAGGGTTCAGGGTCTTAGCCGGCTTTTACAAGAGCTTCACAACCGGCTTCATTTCGGGTTGTATCGGGGTGAATGGCTTTAGGTCTTCATGGCTTTGAGGCTTCAGACAGGCCTAGGGTGTTGTGGGTACGGCATGGGTTACTGTAAGGTTTCTTTAATGGGGGGGGGGGGCGCTACAAAGACTCTTTCCCTTTGAGGGTTTAGAGGTTAGGTCTCGGTTTGGAGATCTAGCAGGTCTTGAGGGCTTTCAAGGGTCCTCGTAATGTGGGTCCTTCTGTCAAGTGCTGAAACTGCTTCAGGACGACATGAACCCCAACAGGTTTTAAGGTACATAGACCATATAGGGATTCATAGTATAAGGGTATAGGGCCCCTACTTATAAGGATCATTTGGTCCCCGAGGCTATAGAAATTCTGGGTGCCAGCTTCAGCCGAAGGCAATCTTGGATCACCTAGACCATCCTCCTGACTGTGTGGCCGGCATGAAGCTGTTCATCCCTTGCATTAGCACGGGCTACCACAACGACACCCACACAACAAGCTGGTTTCCTCAAAATCCCTGGTTGCCATCATCGAAAACCAAAATGCAGCGCCAAGCCACTAAAAGCTGCTGAAACTTCTGCACGTCCTGTGTCTCTCTCTCTCTCTCTCTGTAGTTCTGTTTATGCAACAACGAGACTGGGAGCTTCGGCAAAGTCTAACCGTACCTGACACGATGTACGCAAAGTGCCAAAACGCACAGATCATACAAGCAGACACCAGATTAGCCCCACATTCGTGCTCTCAACCTGAACCCTGGAATCCTGCCCCTGCAGACTCGTATGTACGTTCATGGTAGAAAGTAGGGTGGTCAGCTTCAGGAATTGCTACCCATACCCCGGATAGCTACTAGCGATGCTTTTGGTGTCACAGCCCAAAGTACCCGCTAGACGATGCACCAAAAGCATGCTGCGGCAGCAGATCGGGGTCAACCTTTCGGGCCCCTTGGCCTTGGGGCTTGGGGAGTTTAGGGTTTCAATTTAACACAAATGCAAACTTGTAGCCCTAAACTAAACCCTAAACCCTAAACCCTAAACCCTAAACCCTAAACCCTAAACCCTAAACCCTAAACCCTAAACCCTAAAACACCTAAACCCTCAATCATCAACCCTGAACCTGACAAGGACCCAGCATTCCTGAAGGCCCAGGAAGCAATCTGTTCCTTCAGGACGACATGGACCCCAAAAAAGGTTTTCAGGTTCATATACCATATGGGTGGTTGTCAAAATTAGGGTCCCTTTTTGGGTACCCTAAATATTAGGTGCCGTATTATAATAAGGACCCAAAAAGGGACCATAATTTTGACAACCACCCATATAGGGATTCATAGTATGAGGGTAAGGGGCCCTACTTATATAAGGGTTGTTTGGTCCCCAAGGTCAGTCCCAGTCCTCTTTCTTCTCTGGGTCCGTCGAGCAGAAGGCCAGCAGACTACCTCAGGTTTGGACCAAGAGATGTGCGAAAACATACGGTAGGGTTCCGGCGTATACACATGGATAGACAACCATGATTCATGGCTAAATCTGGGTTGCCAGGCTACCTGTAGTGACCCTTGACGCAATAGAAAAAGATACAGGTTCCGAGTTTCGGGTTCAGGGTTCGGGTTTCGGTGTCGGGTTTAGGGTTCAGGCCTGTCTGGCCGAGCAGCTATATGCATTGAACCACTCGCCGCGCAGCTGCTGCATCAGCGTGCCACCCTAGCGAGGGTTAAGCTTGTGGCCTCAAGGCTTGAAACGGTTTAGGGCTCAGTGAGGGCTAGCCGGGCTAGCCTGTGGCTTGAACTGCCTTCCATGCGTTTACACGGTGCTTTTCTCTTGAACACACGAAGAGGCCCCCTAACACTACACATGTTCAGGTATGACCCATAAGTTGTTCAGCTGCAAACCATTGCGCTCGCAAAAGAAACCCGTCTTTTCTGGTCCAAGCAGGGCCCCGCTGTTATTGGGCCGTATGGCCGCGGTCATGACAACTATAGACTGCTGCTGCGTGGAGTGTTCGTTGCACCACACATTCATTCTTTACGAGCAGCAGTCGCGGTCCACTGTACAAGTCATGCCGCTGACATCATCTTCGAAGTCGTCTGCTGGCCAAACTCGGGCAGTCATGAGCTTGGCCTCGAGGTCCTGCTTCGTCTTTCGTAGGCGCTGTTGCTTCCGGGCACTGACGAACTCCTCGTTAAATCTGACAACCCAGGCCTTCCGCTCGTGGTAGAGGGCTGCCACTTTAAAGGCCTCGGCAGTGGCCTTCGTAAGGCAGTCTGCCAAGTTGAGGTCCGAGGGGACCCATGTGAAGTAGCAGCGGCCATCGTCGCGGATGCCCTTCTGGATGGCCATGGCTTCCACTCCAGTCCTTGAATTGGA